TTGCGGCAAAAAACATTTTGTGGACTAAGGTCACCTCTGCGGGTGTTTCCCTGCCCTTGCCCCTGGATAGCTGCTGCTCAGTTTCACTCGTCAGCCAACATCATGCGCAAACCGTAGCCAAATACGACCCTGCGTTTCAATTTACTAAATTAGAGCAGCCTATCCCTGTTTCGGTCGCTGGGCCTAATTCTTCCCTCAAGGCAGTTGGTGTCATTCAAGTGCCTATCACTTGGGAAAATGGCAAATCCGCAACTTTCACGATGCTCGTTGTTCCCAGCCTGTCTTGGCCTATTTTATTTGGTCAGAATCATTTGCGACAAACCGATGCACGTATATATTCTAAGGATTTGAAGGTATATTTTGCCGATTCTGCAATGGATTTTAACATTAGCTGTTACGACTCCAATCCAATCGAATATTTTCCTGCTATGAGAGGCCAACAGCCCAGCCCCAGCTCAACGGCCAATGTTACATGTTTGCTTACCGCCATGCCCATGCAAGGCACGTCAGCAAGCCATGTTTCTTTGACCCGAGGGCTCAATTTTGTCACGGTTTGCCTCATGGTAACCGCCTCCCTTATAGGCTCTCCTCTCTTTTCGGGGCCCCTTTGGCTGGAGGGCAATACGTTTTCACCAGGGCTTCAAACCCTTAGTGGTCCAATAGACCTTGCCTCCCTGAAGAGCGTACCTTTTTCTGGTGAACAACTGCCCCAATTTTACCCTGCCAGCCACCCTGGGTTTTCAAAATGTCGACCAAGTCGGCCACTGGCCCCGACCCCACCTTCTTGTGTGGCTGTTTTGGCACCTCAAAGCAACGACGCCATATGCTCTGATGATCCACCTGATATGGCCTTCGTAACCAATATCTTAATACGTTCGAACAAAGGTTCTGCAAATATACCTTTTAATGTTTCGCTCGGCACTATACGATCTTTCTCCAAAGCGGATAGTGTGGTGTATGAAGATACCGTGGATTATACTGCAAAACAAATGTCCGACCACTGGTATTCACAGGTATTAGCAAATGTGCATAATCCGCCTTTAGGTGTCGATCCGCTTGTCTCCTTGCCAACACACGTTAAGAGCACAGGGTTAGATTCTTCAGCATTATCCGAATTTCTAGAAACCAATACCGTCGAGCATTTTCCCACCGCTCGGGAAGTGCTTGCACGTAATGGTCGTCTTAGAGGTCTTGTAAAATCGTGCCCATACCTCCAACTCGAAGGAGGACTGCACGGAGGTACTTACGTTATATCGCTTAATCAAGAAGTATTCTCTCGGATATGTCGTTAATTTTCGTAAAAATAACCAAACAATCATAATGGACATTACATAATCTGCAATTCGTTTTCGCGTATTGTATAAAAAAAAATTATAAACAAGTTTCTAATTTTTTTGCCAACGAGGGGTGGACTGTAACAGGATCGCTGTATACTTCTGTAACCTCTTCCCCATGTAAGTATTTAATGTATGTATGCGTAGTAGCCAACTGTCACTCAACCATTGTATCTAGCATTTCCGTTTTAAAGAATATAAATAGATTGATTTTGTAGTTAAAGGAGCTTTTTAATAATCAAGAAAATGTGAGAAACTATGAAGTCTTCTTCGTCTAAATCCTAACGCGACTCGAAGTACTGTCACAAAACTTGCGTCCGGCGGCCCTGCATTAGTACCAAAAACCATTTTTCCAGAGAAGCGGCTCAACTCAATGTAAGAAAAACTTCAAAACAAATCATTTTGGATATATTATTAAGCTATGCTCACCTATAATATGCCCAAAGCATTTTCAGAGAAACCGATCAAAATCCACAAAGCATTCCTGGGCTACATTTGACTGCAAAATTGCATAGTTGTATTGTACTCGAATAAATTTTGCAAAAGTGAACAGAATTCGAAAGAACGTTGCAGAACATCATGAAACAGGCACCGCGGAGCAGGGGGCTGGGCGGCCTTTAGCCCCCCACTTTTTGAAAAAAATCCAAATATTAAGTATCAAACTACCAGAAATGTTTTATACGGCTTGAGCCCCCCCCCCCCACTTTTTTAGACCCCCCACTTTTCTCAACGCTCCGCGGAGCCTGTGAAGTACCCATATGGGCCTTTCTTGGGATTTTTTGAACCTCTCGCATTCAGGGGGTGAAGTTCCAGGATTGACCCCCATACTGGGGCATTACAAACAGGAAAAAACGTCCCTTTTGTACCAGAGGTGTGGTGCTAGGGGGCTCTTGTTAATGCCGAAAAGTAGCCAATTTCTACTTTTGCTGTTGTTTTTCGCAGCGTTTTGTGCAAGAGTCCCCTTGTTATGTTGATAGAACTACTTTTGAAAAGGTATTGACATCAATTGTTAATTCTACTAGAAGAGGAAGAGTATTTTAGAATTAGAAAAATGTCGTATAGAATGCGACGTTCTCTATTTCGTTCTCTAGTTTTTCTCTGATTTCATTTACATGATCCTTGTCAAAGCTAGAAACATTCTTTAAAAGTAAGGCAAACAATCAGACATACAAAACATATCAAGATTCTCTAGAAAAAAGATAGCAGTAATGGTGACACCAACCAGATTCAGAACTTATTCAGTCTCACAAGATGAAGACATTTTGGCATCGCCTGCCTTTGTAGAAGAATTCATTTTCAATTTACTATTTGTGTGCTTGAGATGGTGTATTAGTTTAATAGAATTAGATAATGGCTTTGAAAAAAGCAAACATTTTACGACATACTAAAAGCTTTTTCGTCTGACACTCCTCAGAGCAAAAACGTCAGAATAAGGTTCCGAAAGAACGCGATGGAAAATATATACCCAGTTGTGGATCGAAATAGGCCAATCAGAAAAACGTAAGCAGAAGACCGGTATAGTTGACCAATCAGTGCCGCGAGCCTAAAGAAGAATTACCAATGGAGTCCAAGAGAGAAAACGAACTCCTTTTGTCTACACAATGGCGGCTTTTTCGTTTTTTAATGTAGATTGACTCCAAAACTTTCGGAACCTTATTCTGACGTTTTTGCTCTGAGGAGTGTCAGATGAAAAAGCTTTTAGTATGTCGTAAAATGTTTGCTTTTTTCAAAGCCATTTTCAAATTCTGTACCGCAAAAGAATTAGATATAAAAACGGTCTAACCCGGATAAAAATAACTTAAAGCTGTAATTTGGCACAGATGTTCTGTACTAAGTTGGAAATGACCAGAAAAAAGCCCCAACAATTGGACATTTTTTCACCCAATTTCTCGCCCAGTCTTTTCATGCAAGTTAAGCGCGCGGATATCGAAAAGGTATATTCTGAATAAAGTTTTTCTCATCAAGAGGTGCTTTGACGCTGAATTTTTCAAACTCTGTTTGCAAATGGTGCCCGAACACTCCTCTTAAGCACAATATTTAGCAATTGCACTGCTAATACTTTTATGATCTAAGAACAAATTAAGAACAACCCAACCTCATAGAACAAATTATACCGATACTCGGTCCTGCTCAGTATCGATGTAGATGTAGAACCTCATAGTTCTAATGGCATGGTTTTACTGAAAGTAAAAGAGCCAGCTTGAACTTTAATTTAATGGTTCTTTTAAAAAGGTAAGCGAAAATGGTTTGTCAACAGCCGGTAAGCCCAACAACTTTCCATTCTTGCAAAGCCATATTTTTATTTCTACTCAATCGATATATTTTCAAATATTTCAAAACATTTTGAAATTATCTCAACCTCAACTTTCTTGAATGAGATCCATGGAAAAGGCTTAAGCTGGGTAGTTCCATAAAAAAGTGGGACAAAAAGATGGACACACACCATTTCAGATTTTAGCCACATTTAGCTTACTTCTTCCTTAATTTTAGAAAAGAAAAAATGCAAATTTTAGGTCCTAGCCAGGGACGAAAGAAGTGGCTAATTTTGGAGGGGCGTGGAAGGATGAAAATTCCAACTTTATTTGAGTAATTTTTCATTCCACCTGGGAATCTACTGTACCTACTAAATAGATATTTGGAAATAGCCCTTACTCCTTATTGCTATTTTCTTTATAATCACCAAAATTTTATTTAAGATAATTAGCGTAAGGCATAAAAACTTGAATCTCTAAATTTGGATTAACATGCCACAAGCATTTGAACTTACTGTAAGAAGTCTTTTTCTGATTTGCCCATTTTAAAGCTTCTTGATGCAAATCGATTTTTTCTGAAATATATTTTTCACGGTATAGAAGCATCAAGGAATTGAGCCCTTTATCTTTTTCCTTTTGATCGAAGGAATCTATTAGCAATTTTCAGAGGGCCAAATGCCTTCTCGTTCTTTACAATTAAAATGATGATTTGAGAGCAAGTGCATATGCCCGATTCGTAAGATGAAACACCCTTCTTTGATCAAATACTTCTGCTGCAGCTTTTGCAATGTTTTCTTGATTCTCAGCAGCTTTATCATAGCAATTTATGTTAATGAATTAGGGACATTTACGAACAACAGCGGGAGCTTAGCATACACTCGTCATTTATAAGAAGCGTTGAGAATTTTTAGTATTGAACAATTCTTAATCTTTTTATTGGATCAATTACTCGCAGTTCTCTTGAAAAAACTGCCACTTTAATCTTTTCTGATCAATTTAGGTATTACTATTTCAAACTGTAAAGTTTCAAGTTTCTTATTCGGAAATCCATTGTGCCTGTTCTTAAATTGATCCACCTTAACTCCCGTCAGAAAGAAAGAAAACGGTGCAATTGTGCAATTCGGATCCAGTGGAAACGGGGCTTCACAATATAAAACGATTAGTGGATGGGTCCGCTCCAGCCTGTGAATTTTAACAAGGTTTAAACTTTTTACATTTAAAATCCCACAATTCTTAAATTGTAAAATTCAGAAGTTTGGTCTTGAGAAAAAATTCAACCGTAACTGGTTTTTCCAAACTTTGGAAAAGTTTTCCAAACTGGTTTTTCCTATTATTTACGTGCCTGGTCCCAGCTCCAAACTGTTCCAAAGGTATGGTTCAAGACAAGACTGAAGCTCGGGGATGAGCCTCGTATTAGTGGTGGAAGGAATAGAAAAAAGAAAAAATAGGCCTAAATGAGCTTTTTCGGTTCGGATCGAAGATCGATTTTTGAAAGATTCAAGGAGCTAACTGATTGAAACTCTGTAAGACATCAAGACATTATTTCATAATGGCAGTCGTGATATTTTTGGGTCATGTCCGAGCATAAAACGTCCAGCAAGTCCAGCGTAGCTGCGAGAAAATGCAAGTTGGCTTACAACATCTGACATTTCAAGTTTGACCTGATTTCTTTGAATTTCGCTTTGGTTGCAGACTAGAATCGTTTGTGGAAAATCATAGTTGAACCCTGTAAGATAGTTATATGCCATATTAATATTTTTTACATTCCAATAAAAATTTACGATGCAATTTTACTGGTTACACTACCTACAAAATACTTAAACGACACTACAAGGACGATGCCACAGAGTAAAAAATATTATGACTCCGTGGCATCACGAAAAACTAAGACAACTTACATATGATTTACCAAAGTGAAAAAAACAAAAAAAAGAACACTACACTCTTTCTCAAATTAGATATTAGGCGAAAAATGTTGGCAAATAACAGCAGACAAGATGTTTGCTGCATGCAGCAGATCTTAACTCATATGTAATTTGAGACAGACTTTACATAATTTGATGATAATATAATGATAATAGTAACAATAACAAATTGACAATATTTAAAATATTTCATATTGCGAGTAGCATCGGATCGTGTCAAAAAATTTGGAGGTTTTTTCCTTATTCTAGCGATAATTTTGCGTATCTTCTAGAAACAACTATCAAAACCAACGGAAAATCCAGCAAGGTTTCTGTCATTTAAAGGCCTTTTGGCTACTTGCTTTACTTTTTTTATGCGAATCGATTAAAGTCCAAATGTCTATTTGCAGTGAAATTTTGGCAGTGTCAAAAAAATTTCGACTTTTTTGATCACCTTTGGAAGTATAGCGCATCTTATTATGAACAAGATACATGAATCAACAGAGAATCCAGCCAAGTTTCTCTCTATGAAATATCTTTTTAATATATTTTATAGTTTTTTTGTAAGAAGCAATCAATGTCCGAAAGTCTATTTGCATGTCAAAACGAATGTCGCACGCTAAATAGCGGAACGATTTGAACCTGTTGATCTAGTTACTACCACAGTAGACTCTGCTTATAGTCATTTTGTTAAAGTCACGCTACTGGTTACAGTCATGAAATTTAGACCCAAATGTGCAAAACTATTAAATTTAACTCTATTTACAGTCACACTCTGTTTACAGTCACAAGTTTGTAGCAAATGTTTGTGTGACCTGAATCTTTTGTAGTACTGTACAGCAAAAATGTCTCAGTTAAGTATTCCCAGTGTAGTTATTATTCAACTTAGAGCATAAGGGTGAATCCATGCTTTATCCAGGCTGGAGGCTTGCCAGTAGGTATGAGGCTTCATGCCAAAACTTTTCTTGCAAATACATCCAAACAGGTCACAGCTATTGTAGCTACATCAGCTCTAAATTACTTTTTCAATAATGACTGTTTTTTGCTTGAAGGATGCAATGCATCTAGGAAAATTTTATATCATAGAAAACCATGAAGAAATGAAATGATTTTTCCAAAAATTCTCTTTTTTTAGTAATCCAAGTGACCAAGAATGTCAGAAGGAAATGAAAAACTCCTTGTTGGAGGAATTGAAGAAGGATCAAAACTTTATGATAGCCTGCTTCTAGATTCAATTAAAGATCCCAGCAGCCAAATTGAGCAAGAAAGTAGAAATGTTGCCCCTAAACCTGGATTTTGTTTGAAAACAACAGATGAGAAAGGCAACAAGGTATTTGTCAATGCTTGTACCTCAGAGGGTGTTTTGAAGCCCAAGAATATATCTGAAGATGAGTTAAAAGAAATATTTCTAGCTGGGGATGCAACTAAATTTAGAGTTCCAATGGCAATTGGGGATGCCCATGTGGAAAAGGATAAATCTGGAATTGGTATGTATAGATTCCAGAACTAGAAAGAAAATTGGTGAAAACAATTTATCACTCCTTTTTTAAGAAAACTTTGTTTTGGAATGTTTTTTATTCCATAAATATTTTTATCGTCTAGAGAAATATTTAAGTTGCCTTCTGATACTTAGAGAGAAACATTCTTTAATTTTGATAATAATGAAATATTTAGAACTTGTTGATATGTTGCTTAATTAGGGCTATGGTTTGGAGGAACATAGAAGTATAAATATAAAATAATTTATACAAATTTCAGTTTAATTTTTCATGGTCACTTTCAAAGAACATAGATTTGTAGAGAAAAATTTAATTGCTTTTAAATGGTTTTGGAAGAAAGAGCTGAATTTAATTATCTACCTTTTCCCTCTACACAAAATCATTTAGTTTCACTGAATGATATCTTTGACACTTGCTGAAGTTTATTGCTTCGATAGTTTATTTCTTGTGCAAGTGAAGTCACATGAGCACTAGGCCACTCATGTGGGCTATTTCTTATGAAAAGGCCTGCCATAAATAATTTCATTCAGTGTTATATCTAGAAGATTTACATAAAGGAACAAAGCAATGCAACGACGAGAATCCAATGTCACGAGATAAAATATTCAAAATAAATTAAATTTAGGGAATACTAATATTTACTCTGATGAAGCCCTGTATGCCAGGGCGAAATATTAGTATATTCCTCAAACTTAATTTATTTTGTATATTTTATCTCGTGACATTGGATTCTCGTCATCGTATTGCTTTTTTCCTGTATATCTTTCGTAACAACACTCATTGCAAGATTCACAGAATCCGGCGGACAGCCTATCCTGCGGTTCTTCTTTCTTACACACGATTTACATAAACTTTGTCATTCTTTGCTCAGATTGCACAGCATATGATATTGTGATCAACCCAGCATTTTTGGATCAAGTAAACAGCAATAAGTTTTTCATGGATTTCTTCATAACACTGATTTACGAAGGGCTAGAAAATAAACATGATCTGAAACTGAGTCGAGACTTCAGGATTTTAAAGAACAAAAAGGCCATTGGAACACTTCAGATGCAAACAGTTAGAACGAAAAGTACACCAGTGATAATGGAGATGGATAAAGTTATGTATGAATTGGAGAAAGAGCATTTAGGTATTCTATCAGTTATTTTTATTTGTGTATCTTTAGCTACAAGTGCAGAACCTTAAATGTTTTACCAGTATGCCAGTAACCATAATACCAGTTTGGCTTCAATATCTGCATGACCTTAAGTTTTGATTATAATGGTCTTTGATAAGAGAGTATTGCAAAATGTGAAAGGACATATGCAGATATTATAGACATATGCAAGGATGTGAAAACAGCACAGGTGTCTTTGATAGAATGATCAGTATATTGTAGGCTGTTTTTTTTAGAGAATATGGCAAACTTGGGCCTTTCGATTTGGAGAAACAATAAAATCAAACTTTCCCACTTATTATCAATATTATTTACAAGCTTTTCTATAAATGCTTACTGACACAGGAACCTTATGTGACAAAGCTTATCGTATACTTATGTCAGATTTTCATTGATCATAAATTCATCATTAATCAAAGAGTAATCAATGAAATAGGGATAATAATCCTGATGATCAAATGAGGGGCACAAGATGCTGCAAAAAGGGTACCTTTGCACTCTAAGGCATATTTTCAGGCTTGCCCATCATGCACATGCATTCAACATGCATATATTTTTGCAAGGAAAAAGGTTTTGAGGTAGCCCTTTGTTTATATTTAAAGAGAACAATGTTGTATTTTTTTTTAAAAAGGGAGGTCACAAAGGCTGGAGGGGCAATAACTCTCTAGTTAGTATGCTAAAAAGGCCCTGCATTCATATGCCAAGAGCTTTTTTTAGATAGAGCTAATAGACTCACCAACATAATTTTCTTTGCTTTTTGAATTCAAGAAAGGTTAAGATTTAAGTTGAAAATGATTTTTTCCTTGTATTCCTGTATGATATCACCCATAATTTCATTGAAAGCTCAGCAGAACTTATCACAACATCCTGAGAAGCCAAGCCTGATAAAAGAACTGTCAACCACAAAAAGACCACAAAAAGAAAGAAGTCCTTGCATCATTCCTGAGTATAATATCATAAAAGAGCCACCAAGTGGGGAGCCAGAGTACCTAATCATGGAGATAAAACTCCCTCAAGTTGTGAGTCAATCCAGTTATTTGAATTCCAAATCCCGAATCTTCTGTCATTTGTACAAATTTCACAAGGAAGGTTAAGTTAAATCAAATCAAATCAAAGTATTTTAAGTTGTAAGCCAACTATTTTGATATTTAGCACAGTGTAAATGTACAACTGAGTCTGCAATCTTAAGCTATAGGAAAGGTTTTGGCGGGATCACCATAAGAATGGTTAGGGATGCTGTAGTAAAGATAATGCAGAATTGATTAACCTATGACCAAAAACCTGTGGATTTCAATTTTTTAAATAAATATGTATATTCGGCATAATTTTGGTCATTTGAACTGGTAGCAAAAATACTGTGCTAAGAATTTTGAGAATTTACAAAAGAAATCAATCTCTGTTGAATTGACAAATTTATGATTGATATTCTCTACTTTTTGATAAAGCAGCAAACAAAAGGAAATGAAATACAATTTTATTTTGTCATAATTTGCCTTGTTATGTTTGCATTTTTATGCCTGATGGTTGTATTGCCTGGACAAATTTGCAGCTTAGAATCTATCCTGTTTTATTATACACCAAATAGTATGTATAGCTCTGCCTGTATAGCATCAAGCATATTTGACTGATAGGTAAACAGTAATTTTCATTGCATTTTTTGGATGTTTGAATTCCTTGGTTTTTTAGCACTCAACCAAAAACATAGCCCTAGATGTTGGTGATGATTGTGTTATTCTTTTATCAAATGATGGTAAATTAAAGCTAGATGTTGATCTTGATCACCATGTGAATAATGATGCAACAGGGGCACAGTTCAACAAAAAGACTCATGTAAGTGTGCGACATTTGGTTATAATTTGCATTTAAACATTGATGTAAATTTGAGAGAGCAGTGTACATAATTTTTTTAAACTCATTTTGAAGTCCCCCCCTCTCCAAGTAGGAATGGTACCACATGTCATGCCCTTTGTTTTCTGTTTACCACCAACTGAAGTCTTATGATAAGAGCAATACCAAGTATAAAATCTTTAGTAAGGCAAGTTCCAAGATGGCATATAACCTTCCTTTGGCCCTTTAGTCATCCCCCGAATGTTTTGACCAAACTTGTCTTTCTTGTTCCAAAATGGTCTTTCTTGTTCTAAGATATAAAAGTTCTGGTGGAAGTTATTCCTGCCCAATGACCATTAAATGACCAGTGAAACTATGGGAACTGATGTTCTCCTAAATTTTTTTTGCTCATACAGTCCTTATCATGAGCAAAATTACGCGTGTGGCAAATCACACATGTAAACAAAATTTGTGCCTGCCATCGCACTTTTAAGAAGATTTGAAGTGCCAACCTTATAAAAATGGTAAAAGGGGCAAGAAAAGTAAAAGCCACTCGAATATGTGCAAGAGCAAAACTCAATTCAATCAATACACAACAGATTTGGTTGCCTTTAGCAGCCATCTTTCAAATATCGTCGTCACTCACCAAAGTTACAAAAGCAAATGAAAATTGTTTCCAACAGCTACTTGCTTTCAGGGCACAATTATGTTTTGAAAGGAAATCAGTTATTACACTTAACATGCTAATGGCGACTTAGCTGAAAGACGAGACACTAAGTTGAAAGGAACATTCAGTCAAAAGCCAAACATCACTTCCAAAAATTTAGAAAAATCATATTGTGGTCAAAAGTGCTAATCAACTAACAAGGGAAAATATAAACAATCATGAGACCATGGGAAATTGATGTAAGCAGAAAACTGCAAAAACATCTCTTTGTGTGTGTGATGAAAAGCACGCGCAATTTAACTTGCACGTGTGCACAGGCGTGTACGATCACACACGCTAAACGAAAAGTACTGCTCATACTGAGTTTTTATCCTTCCAGATTCTAACAATTACTATGCCATGCAGCTGACATCATCAAAAAGCTATCATGCACAAATGATTCTATGAGGTTTGTTTTTTGCATCAAGAAAAGATCAATCCTTAAAGGTCATAAAGGTCATAAGGTGAAAAGTTACTAAGGTGAAAATTTCAAAAAGGCTTTATTCATCCGAAGATGAAAGTATCAAGACTGTTTTCCAGAATATTCAGTTTTTCTAGAAAATCTAATTGATTAGTCAAAAATAAGGTGTTCCTGAATAGTTAAGCATAAAACATTAAAAATATTTCATACAGTTGCATAATTAAAGTTAAGAGGTTTTCTGAATGTGACTTTGTAAACTTGTTCTGTCAGAATTTCCATATTAGAGTGATGTTTCATCTTTTCAAATTTTCTTTCTTGCAAATTTTGTCAATATTTTCTTCTCTGGTGTCTCAAATACCAATTCACTTTTATATTTTCAGTTTCGAAACATATTTTCCAAACAAGTCTAATTTATGATATTTCAACAGTTTAGTTAATGGTTTGTTTTACCAAACATGGTGCACAGCAGTGATCAATTCATGCTGTTTTTAAATTGGATTTTGTCCGTAAATATTTCACAGAGTAGATGTGACACTTTATAGATCATGCTTTTTATTATTGGATTTCATGTTCAAAAGTTTAAGTTCTTTTTCATTTCAAATTTGACCTAATGCCTTCAGGCCATATCAAATGACCTTTTCTTAGGCATTCTCTGAAATTTATTTTATTAAGAAAACAAAATATAAAGAACATTAATAAATAACACTATTCTACTCTCTGTGATATTAGGGTCTAGACAATATAGCAACATTTCTGAGAAATAGTAATATTATTGCATATCACCAGAATTAAAAGGATTGTCTAACAAAACGATTATGGTGACCTGTGTAACTCAATTTTGAGTCTCACTTTAAAGGCATTTGACACAAGTAAAAGTGGCTTACAGCCACTCGACCACAAGCAGTAGACCAATCAAATTGCACACAGAGAAAAACATATGAACAGTTTCTGCCTTTCTGCAAATTGGTGAAATCCTAGAGCAGCGTGCAGTGTTTTCGCGTGAGCGTGCATGCTCTGATCAATTTGGCCTAAGTTATTTTTGGATTTGCTGTACTTATGCATGTCTAAGTATAAACATCTTTGTATAATATTCTATTTCAACTCTCCTAATAAATATAAACATCTTTGCCCTTTTTGTGTTCCTAAAATGCCAAAACTTCTAAGAGCACACACATTAGAAAGAAGAATGATTCTGAACAAGAATCTGTTTCTTAAATTACAAACCTTGATTTTTTTCTTGAAAGATTTCAACAATATCAAAACAACATAAAGAATGTTCTCAAACCCAGACAAATGCAGCCTGAGGGGCTGCAGCCTTTTTTTAATTCCATGGATCCATTAATATATCCTTTGTAATTCTGGTAAGGTTGTTTTGCATGATAAACCATATTAAAACTTTTCACCTGTTTCGAGAGATATGTGTAAGCTATGCCCTACTTTCAAGAAGCATAAAAAACTATCTGGCTTTTAATATTCAAAATGTTACAATTTGCAAGTATTTTAAGTCATTTTTAGTTATATCAATAAAGAATCTGTGCAACGATTGAGGATACAAATTTTGACACCATATATAGCCATAACCTACTATCCTTCTTTTATTAACAAAATATGAATTGAAAACACTGACATATATTAATTACTCACTAGGTTTTGATGATGGAAAACTATTAAAATTGATATCTTTCATGCCCAAAAAGTAGATCTTTAGGAAAAAGTTCTTATGATGAATTTCATTATTTGCGGTTCCTAGAATTGGTTGCTCTTTAAATAGGCACTGTTACAAATGCAAAGATATGCTAGTGTTTCCTAAATCAGTTGATATGAGCGGTATTATTTCTTGTCCCTACATCTACTTCAAGTCTTCTGTGGCGCTCTTTGAAGAACAGCATCATGGGGATGCAAATAACACAGCTTCCCACTAGTGTCCAGTTCATCCATTTGGTGTCAACACTAGGTATCATTGGTAAAGAAAGAAATATAAGGCAGTAGACATTGTTTGAAAAGGTCATAAAACCAGTGTTGATTCCTTCAGCAACTGGATAGCTAGCCTCAACTGACAGCTCAAAAAACAGTGGTATGGCACCATTCAGACATAGTCCTCCAACTATGGATGTTAGATACAAAACAGGCAGGGTTGGTGGAATCACTTTTACGCACATTAGTGAGAATATTGTAAAACCAATTGAGGCAAATATGAAGAGACAAAGCAGGATCTTCTTCATAAAACCACCAAACCAATCAGCTATGCTGAAAAAAGAATGAAATAAAAGGAATAGCAACTTTCCTAATTAGTAGAACACTATCTTTAAAACTCAGATAGATCAAGAAATTTATTGACAGATGAAACAAAGCTACTTGTTCTCAAAGGTTGATTATTTTATAACTTTGAATTAAGGCAAATAAAAGATTGACCAAAGTGCAAATAAAATGAACATCCCTAAACAGTGGCAAATGCCACTTTAAGAAAGTGGGAGTGTGGGTCTTTGGAACCATGCCTTTTGTGTACTGGCAGAATAGGGGAAAATATTATGCTTATCAGTATATCAGAAACAAACATCTTTTTGTTTAATTTGCAACCAAACAATTTTCAATCAGGACCTACCCCACAAATTTGAAAGTGGGGGGGGGGGCAAGGCTAGCAAAAGTAGGGGGCCAAAACTTTTTCCCCTTTTACTGCAGCTTTAAAACTACTTTCTTTGCAAAAATGTGGGGGAGCTGGCCATGGCCCCTCCAGCCCCCCTGGTGGCATGGGCCCTGTTAATGAAAATCAAAATGTAGATAATCTGCCTACCCTTATCCCCACCAATTTATTTGGCAGTCTAGACCCCCCATTTACCAATTTTTCCCTTGGCTTGACTACTCAAATGAGGCTTGACTACTTGACTACTTAAACATGCTACTCAAATGAGACAGATAGACAGTCAGATGCTTATAAAATATGTTAGAATGAAGCCTAAAGACAGATAATCACAAATTGATCTAATCTACTCACAGGGATAGAATAATTCCAGACATGGCACCTGCCACAACTGCCCAGAAACCAAACCAACTTGCTTCATCATTATCAATGTTATATGCTGATAGATTTAATGCAAGGTCTGAGCACCAGGCACTGTAAACACCAGTTGTGATGCCATACAGAAAAGCTATTAACTGAAATTGTGGATTCTTTAGTAACTGTTTCAGTCCTTTGTTAAAATCTAATCTCTCTAATGCAGCTGTTGTGCTCGGTGGCAATTTTGGCTTTGCAGGAAATGTGAATAAAACCAATAGGAACAGCAGGCATGCAATTCCGAATTCCAAAATAAGTAGATTCATTATTTCCTTCGAAATTCTTGTAACCATGTGACTATTATTTGAAGGGTTGATTAAATTCACCTTTAGTGTCTCAACATCTGTTACAAACGCTGGGCCAATTACAAAACTAATAGCTGTCCCAACATATGAAGCCAATGATGCCACTGCAGTTGCAAGTGTTCTCTGGTGTGCTGGAAACCATGTACTTGAAATAACAGTAGCAGAAGACTGGCCGATGGGCCCTCCCAAACCTATAACAAACTGTCCCATATGAATCAGTGGTGTAGCAACATCTGCTTCACTTGATAAAATACGTAAGACTGAACCAATAGCAATGCAGCCAGTGCACAGAAGAACCGAGATGCGAAGTCCTGAAGGAAAAAATGTCTGTAATTAATTTTTCAATAAAAAATAATCTATGAAATGGAATACCCTTGCTTATCACTCAAATGACATACAATAACCAAAACGTTCTGCTTGTAGCTTATTTTATCCAACTTGCGTAACTGCTTGCACCTTCAAAACACAAACTGCCAACAACCATGGAAAACTAAAGTCAACAAAACAGAGCTTGTTTTGTTGTTGGTTAATAACTTTTGTACATTTCCCAATTTTGGAGCATCTTTGTTACCCAAATGGCTTCCCTTCTGGATAACAGTTCATAATGCCATCATACTGGAAAGTGAAACTCGTCCCAAACCTTCTAGAGCCTGACACTTCAGAAAGATCTCCAGTTTCCTATGTCAAAGTTTACACTTTTCAACTTGTGTGTACTAAAGAAATTTTCCATCAAAAACACATTTAGAAAACACTAAAGGACAAACAATTAAGCTTTACTACTGATTTCTGGATATATCCCTGATTAAGATATAACTTGCTTGAAGGCACATGTGCTTATTAGTGGTGGCTGATGCTTTGGGAGATTTGTGAAAATATTCAAGTCTTGCAGTTAACAACGCTTTTGGCGTTGCAAAAATATCTGAAAACTTTCCACTATATGTAATTGGAGAAAGACCAAGACCACCGTACGTAGTATTACCAACCAAAATCGAGACATATCCTTTATTGTCAAGATTTTTGACATGAAATAACGTTCTGCATTCGCCTACTGCTAAAACGACATAAAGAAAACTAAAAAGTACCTTTCACATCTAGCAGCCAAGCAGATGGAAACACGCACAATACAAATGTAATGGCTCCCCAGTCAGCAAGAAGCGACACTGTTCCTTTGCTCCACCCGTATGTAAACCTTGCACTAGCTTCTATTGGACCCCATGTGTTCCATGTAATATTCTCCAGTGCTCCTACCAAAGAAAATAAACCTAGGATATACCACCTGTACCAGTATGTCCTTGTAGGTGGATGTGGGCTTGAACACGACTGCGAACCATAGGCCTGGTCTTGTCGAACCCCTATCGGCGGTAAACTGCTCAAAAGTGGTTCGTCTTCTCTGTTGTACATAATGTCAGTAGGTTAAACAAACAGGACTTCTTGCAACGCTTTCTTGAATAAAGTGGAATGCCGACCACTCGCTCCTTTCGCAACGCCGACTAGATGTTGTGACAGTCACATGAGCTTATGAACAGCGTGGCCTAAAGCAGTTATACTCCAAATTGTTATAATCAAAGGTATCCTTTCAATCAAAAGTGCAACTCGGAGGCTTCGTGCGAGGTACTTTATTCTTTAAATTCAAATCATCTCATGAATTACAATTGCATGTCACGGTGGTCAAGGCAGATACAAGCACGGTCGAAGCCTTTCAAATTTTCTGATAACCTCAGTGGATAAACTTCCTCTTTCTCTCTTTCTTTAGTCATCGTTAGTGTCGTTTTGATAACGAGGTTGATAGGGGTGGGCAAACAAATGGAATGGGAGGAGGTGGAGGAACTACTGACTCGCATGTAGATGATCTACCTCCCCCTATTCCGGGGGTACCATGCATCGTTGCTGAATACCTATTTGATAATTATCTAATAGTAGTAATTTCCTGTTGGCAAAGCCATCGGCAATGGAATCTCTGAATAATGGATACATTTACCTGGTCTGGTATCGGAACTAATTTTATCTATACATGTTTTATCTATGGCCATGACAACAAACCAAAACTCAGATTTTGGGATAGTTGGAGGGTCATGGTAGCCAACCTTCTGATAGAAGATGGTACCTGATAATGATGGTACCGGAAACCAAGAATTTCTCCTTGTAAAAACGAAAGCACTCCATTTTGAAGTTCTCTTGCAGCATTCATTTTCACGCAATAAGTAATGCTGACGCGCCAATGTCTATTCACGCATTCGCGCATAATATAAATTTGTTTCCTGAATTCCAGCATCGAAAAAGCCGATCACGCAATCACGCCAAAATACCTGGTACCCCCAATTCCCACCAATTAATTTACCGGTCCAATTTATTTTCCAATGTTTACCTTGGCATGACTTCTCAAACGAGGCTTGACTACTCAAATGAGGCTTGACTACTTGACTACTTATACATGTTACTCAAATGAGGCAGTTGGACAGTCAGATGCCTATAAAATATGTTAGAATGAAGTCACAAGATAATCACAAATTGATCTAATCTACTCACAGGGATAGAATAAGTCCAGACATGAGTCGCAATGTTTTAGCCACTACTTCTTCTCTCCTTTTCAATTTGTCAACGGAGTTTGCGCGCAGGCTACAATGTTTTTATGATTATAAGGAGAATGTTATGCATCTTGTACTTGAAGATGGTAGCTTATACGCGTTTTAAAAGGAACCTACCTCAAGGCCTAGTTCCAAAAGTTCCTTATTCGTAGACCTCAAATCATCAAATTGTAGTACCAAATGTTCCTTAATAGTTCCTTAATTTTCGCTGCACATCAAGTGCCATAAAAATAGTACAGAAACAGGAAAAACATATAAATTTTGAATTTTGCCTTTACTTGTTTGTGGCTAGAACTCAGGAGCAAAAACACAAGGAAGGTAGGAACGAAATTTTACAAATTCAAAAGTGAAATGTTAATCAAAAAGTATCATGTCTATTCCATTAACTCATAATAGAGGGAGGGGCGAGACAGCATTTGCGGAAACTACTCAATGAAGCACTTGACACACGGATAGCAAACAATCTATGCGAGTATTGGCTGCAAATTAATGGAACCGGCTTTTTAGTTCTTGATGCTTGCAGTTATAAATTTTCAAGTCGAAAAGTTCCTTAGGGATTTCCTTTTTAGTGGTATAAGTTCTTTAAATATTTCGGCCTTCTAAATGTAAGTTCCATATTAAGTGGTTCCTTAGCGAGAGTGGCCTGAGGGGCGTCATTGTTGACATGTCATATCCAAGTTATTTTTAAGATACGTTTAAGAAACCGCATTCCAGTAGCTTTTATTACGATTTGGCTTCGATTAGCTTCCACATCATAAAATACGTTATCCAACCAAGCACTTCGGAGCAGGTGGAGGGGCTGGGGGCTAAAGTTCTCCACTTTTTGCTTAAAGGGCAAATTATTAAGAAATTAACCACCGGTAAAGCCACTTTTATTTGGTTTTAGCCTTCCCCAAATGTTTTAGACCCTCTTCCAAATTTTCGGAACCGTATGTAAGGATTGGAGGTGCGTAGCAGTTTATAACTCTTTTTTGCACTTTTATATTGATTTTTGTGAGGTGTTCTTCATTTTCATCGATGCACCTTGTCACAGTTATCCAGCTGCCAAGATAATTTACAAACTCTATGACTTGTGTCCTTATTTTGAAGTTTCTTTGAAATAACCATGCATTCTGTCATTATACATACGTCAAACAGAGTATATATAGTCTGCAAGTTCAATCTTATTATGGGTATAAAGTTGAAAAGTGATGACGTCACGAAAGTCTAGTTTTGGAATATTACATTAGAATAAAATAACTTGAGAGGGCATCATCAAATACATTTGCGAAAAGAGCTAAATGTCTTCAAAATTGGCAGTGATATGGTGACAAGAGCAACTCCGAGCTTTCAAGACAACTCCGTTAGCAAACTCAAATCTTTTGACTATCTCTTCTATTAAATAACCTCCAAGTGATATGAGTCGGGACGATTGGCCATAAATTTCTAAAAGAAACTGTTTTTATTTTCATCAGTATTTTCTAAAGTTTTCACTGTTTGTTAAATTAAAAAACAAATGGCCCTTTTCAATTTCTTTTGTAAACAGGTTAAATATGAAGTTTTGTTCACATGAACACTGAGTCTGAAGCTCAGTAAAAGATGATTCTTGTTGTAATAACGTAAATAGCTGAGAATTTAGTCATATTACCATTGTAATTCTAATTATGCCGCTTGCTTTTCAGAATTTGGTTTTTAATAGAGTTGGTGGTGGTAGTTGCTTCGTATATAGGTCTTAGTAGTTGTAATTGTTCGTCAATTCGAATGTTGTCGATGACTGTTTGAGGCACAGGACAAAGCGACTGGAGTTCTGTTTGATGAAAAGTCTACACTAGATTTCAGCTACCGTTTTTGTGATACTGGAGTAAGAAATCTGCTACTCTGTTGTGTAGCGAATCATTCCAGGTGAACATATAAAGATAAACAAAAACATTTTGTTTGGCAGCATTTCATACATATGTCATGTGTAAGACTTTTGTGGAATAATCAAGCACTTTGATGTGAGTAAACTGAGGGTCAAGAATTATTGGATACCAATCACATGACAAGGCAAGGGAATGTCACCCTTTTTCTGAAGATACAAGACCAGTGCTTTCCAGACACACAGATCCTATGAAAATGAACACGACATTGGCACCAGTTCCTGAATGACAGAGTATTACCCCAGATGTGTCTCAGTTGTCCAAATCTCATAGACTTGCAATATTCTTCTTCAATGCAGCTCTGATACCAATTATTTTAGTTTCCAACAGTGTCGTGATTATAGGCCTACTTCGATCTAAATCATCTGGCTCAAAGTTGCTGATCGTTTTTCTTTGCATAACAGACCTGTTAGTTGGTGGTTTATTACTGTCTCTAAGTAGTGCCTATATTCTCTCTCCAGTGGTACATAGCAGCTGCAAGGCAAAGTTTGCCATACAGTTTCTGTCCTACACCTTTCTTTCGTTAGACTTTACAACTGTCTTAGCTATCGGCATTGAACGGCTTATAGTTTTAAAATACCCGATGCAAGACCTGTTTTTTCGATGGCAAGCCGTTCGTAAGTACGTCTTGATGTGTACTATTTTCTGTTTTCTGCTTTTAGCTTTCATCGTCATTCTTGTAGCAAATTACAGTAACGTCTACTGCGCCGTCAACTTTGCGTGTTTCTCTATTTATGTGGTTTTTTCGGCTACTAACGTAAGCTGTTATACGATAGTCTGTCGCCATGTTCACAACAGTGTGAAGAAGTTGTATAACGGACAAAACAACCATATACAGTCAAGGTCTAAACAACTCAGGCATGATATGGCCCTAGCAAGATCAGTCAGCGTCATTCTTTCTTTCCAGCTTTCAATGTGTACACCATATTTCATTACTATGCTTTTCTGGAATTGGGAGATGTTCAAGTTTGGGAAACCAAAACAGCTCTCAAGCACGATCCTGGTTTGGACATTTTTGCCGTTGCTTATGAATTCAAGTGCAAACGCATTTATTTACTCGTATTACAATAGACCGTTAAGACAGTATCTTGTGCAAACATATTCCTGTCTGTTTCGATTCATTCCAAGAAGAAAAGAGACAAGAGGTAATCCTAACGAAGAGGGAAATACTAAAAAGACTAAAGAATCTAGCTTATAAAATTATAAACACAGTACAAGGCACCAACCGCAGAAGTGACAGCTATGAAAATGATAGTCTCACAGAGAAATGGCACACAATTGCATAAATTGAAGCCGCTAAAAAGAAACTGCTGCATGAAATCTATAGGACTGTTCGTTCCACGTACATACATTTAAGTTTGGAATATTATTTGGAATAGTATAAACATATATTAAAGTATTATTATACTCGACTTTTGTAGGGTCCAGGCCCTCGACGTGTTGGCCACGTCACGCATTGTTAATGTAACTTCATTCTGCTAGAGTAGTTAGAGAGAGGTCTTATTGTTACGGACTGATAGTGTGGCTATTCGTCAAGAAAATTGATTGAATTCGTTGTAAATAGTTTTTTATGTTATTTGACTCACGCACCACACCAAGAAGATACTAGAGCTGAGTGTTTATTGCTCAATAGCGGAAACGTATTCAGATACACATCTGTATTCACTCTGCATAAGCTTGTTCACGTTATTTTTCTACTCATTCATTTCTTAACATTCTCATGACCTCATCTCATTAAACAGGTATCCTCTAAGTTTCTAAAACAAAACACATTCGCTAATCTTTATCCTTAGAGGGCCTCTCCAGCCAAAAAAAAAAAAATTTTTATTGACTAAAAAGTTAGCATCTAGTGCATGTGTTATGGCAAAGTCGTTGTTTTTGCAAAATTCCAATTAGTTTAGAAGTTATAAGGCTTTAAAGTTGCACCTTTCCGAGAAAAAAACGACAAAAGCCGAATCAGTTTTGTGACATTCTGACGTCACAATGTGCGGCCCTCGTTCGCCATGAATTTCGTATATCTTCCACCGAATCGTGAAGGAGTCATGGTCACGCGTTGATAACGGCATCTAAATCTAGAGCAGGAGCTTTTTAGGATCGAAAATATAAAATGTTTACAATCATTCTGAGTTTGCGGGTCGGAATGTGTCCATGCTGTGTCACGACTTTGTTTTGATCACCTGTGTAGGCCCACAAAGCTACGGCTTCCTGTTCTAGCTCTTCCTTCGCGTATAATTAATCGAAATTGACACTTCAGTTGTTCTCCAGAAACGATGAACAACTAA